TGCTGAAATGAACAGTGTTTCCTAGTAGAATCCCAATCAGATGACTGTGTTCAGGGATATATGTGCTTTCAGTAGAGCTGCCCATGGGATGGCAGATGAAATTGGCTTATGTCCGTGATGCCCTCTAAAATGGGCTGCTAGCAATGTATGCAATTAAAAATGCATAATTTCCTGGAAGAGCTGTATTCAAATGTCACATTCTAAAGGGATTCTTTGTGAGTGTTTGAATAGGTCAGTTATTCTTTAGGCTAAATACAAAGCTACACTAAAGTAGTGAAGGGTGATTTTGTGTAAACTTAATTTAAAATATAACCTTTATACGTGCATATCTTTATCTTGTTAAACCTAACCTGTATAGCTTAAGATCTGTTCTGGTTTGCAAGTATTCCTATTCAATAGAAATGAATTAGCCCTAGGAAGTTTTAGCTGTTTAACAACTATTTTTTAAAAAAGAAAAGCTATTAAAAAAAAAAACCAGCAAACAAACAACCCCCTTACAAACCAAAATCACCCCTTTTCCCCCCAAAATCCCAACCAACCAGCTCACCCCTCCCCAGCTACCCATGCAAGTATCTATCTTTATTGTAACAGCATGGTGAAAGCAGTATTTTTCTCCTGTGGATGGTCTGACTGGTTATACTAGTATAAGCAATTATATGGTTCTTCCTTTATTATTGTTTTTGAACTCATGCTCTCAGAGCAGTTGGTTTAAGATGTTATTGCAGCCCCTAGCAGAAATGCCAAGAAGGAACCACGAATGGAAGTTCACTGTGCATACTTGAGTGCAAACCTGCCTCCACTGGTGATGTGAGCTGAAATGTAGAACACAGGGGTACATGAAATGAGTGGGAACACTGCAATATGTTAGACTTTTGCAACAAGATTTATCAGAGCTGCCCTATGGAGTCCTAAATTACATCTGCCTAAGGTATCTTTACAATGATGCTATACCACCTGTCATGTTAATTACTTTCTACTGGTATATTTTTGAGTTAAACTATTGTCCATACTGATGTAGTTACATTGGTATACCATCATGTGTGCAGTAGATCAGATTTCCTAACACTTGAATTAAATTGGTACTTGATTCTGTGGGGAAGACTTTGCTGAAGTTTGACTACGTGTATTTGTCTTTTTAAGTAAAGCTGGAGCATAACTGGTTGTAATGGTGGTTTGACTTTACTTCTGTCCTGAAAGTGCATGACCCAGATGGAATTTCTGCAGATGTTGCAGCAGTGAAGTGTGAGCATGTGTATGATTAAAATACCCCACCCCCTTCTTTTTCAGCTTTCTGAAACAAAAGTCTTCACTGCTTCTTCTGTCCCAGCTGAGAATCATGTGACTCCTGGGCAAAGGTAAGTGGCTCTTCCACATTTTTCCTATACCTTAAAAACCTTCTCCTTGGTGAAGCAATGTTAGATTGCACATATAAAATGTTGAATAAAACACAGGGCAGCCCTGGTCAGAGATTGGTCAAGCTAATTTCAAGGTTGCGAAAGCCTTGCTTGCAAATTTTTGGTTTTGTGGGTTCCTGTGTTACCTATTATTGACTATGGTAGTGAAGCCAAACTTATCCAATCCACAAGCAGAATACTGAGAAGACCCTGTCTGCTGCACAAACACTGCTTACAGGCAGGAACAAAAGTATCAGGGAAGAAAAGTTTTCTGCTGTTGAAAAGGAAACTCTGGCTTTGCTGTCCAGAAAATGGGAAGCTTGCCCCTGTAGATGCAGAAAGCGTTCAGAACGTAGTGCTTTGACAATGTTAACAGAAAAGCTTGTGTTGGCAAGACGGTGATTTTCCTGGTAAGCATCACAGTTACTTGCCTTAACTGATCATGTAGAGTTCAGATAGAGAACGAAAAATATGGCAGCTTCTGCCTTCCTTTGCTTGCCTTTGTCTTCACCAAATGCCTGGCTGATGATGTTATGGAATCAGTTGCCTGCATTAGCCTTAGGTCCCAGGAGAGCAGGTTAAAGTTGTGTGAGGAAGACTTTGGTAGTTGGATAGCATGAGATCTGAAAACTAGACGGTCTGCTGGTCCCAAACATCCTGATGCAGCTGTACTGCTGTACTCCAGACTGCAGCAAAATTTTCATTATAACATGGATGTGATCTGGAGGAGGTATGGTGTCAGTTGATCTACAATTTATATTCCTTTCCTTCTTAAAGGTGATACGCTCACATGTTCATTGTTCTAATGCAAATACTCTTCCAGTGGATGTCCCTCAAATTCTGTTACAAAACATTTTAGTTCATCAACTCAAATTCTGGTGTTTTGTTGTTGGGTGTTTTGTTTTGTTTTTTATTTTTACTTGCCTTAAGAAAGGTTTGGGCAATAAGAAATCTATGCTAATGAAAGTGCTGGAAGCAGCACTTCAGCCCAAGCCTGCGGTATATTTAGGGTGAATGTAAGTCAGAATTTTTGGAGTAGATTTCGTTTACTGTCTGAACGCTTCGCTTTTCCTTGGATGAATCTGTGCTAAGCATGTGGTAGGGGTTAGTAAGCCGTGATAAATAAGAGAAAATTCATGTTTCTCATCCTGCTCAGGTATGTGTGATAGAGTAATTTTGGATATGTGCTTACTGTCTGAGAAACTTAGCTTTTATTTATGCTGCTCTTGTGACTTCTGTGTCATCACACATTCACTCAGTCACTGCATGTGTGACTTCATTGTTTACTGTCCTTATACCCACCCTATAGAGAGGCAGGACTTTGATCCCTTGCTCTTATTAAAGGGATTGTGTGATACACAGAGAATGTGGATTATCAGTATATGTAATGGGCTTGCAGGCACAATCCACTTAAACATAACGTATCTTTTATCACTTGTTTCCAGTTACTTGGATATGTTAATCTTATACGTTATTTATATGATACATGATGCTATACATTTGATAATATTTGAAAAGAGTGCAAAGATAATTTATATTGTAACCATAGTGGAAGGTTTCAGCTATCGCTATCAGAATATTACTTTCTGGCAAAACCCTCTATTCTACTACTTCTTGTATGGCAGAAAAGCAATATTTGAAAAGACTGTTAATCAGTAATAATTCTGTCACCAGTATGGCAGCTTTAGTATTGTTAGTGCTTTCTTCAGTTTCAGTGCAGCCTAATCACCATGCTTATTCCAGCCAAACTTTGCTTTTTCTTACAGCATTGATTTGGTAACACTGCTTCAAAAGCCTGTGTCTTCTACCCAAGAGGCAGAAGGCAACTCATTTGAGGCTCCCCAGCAGCAAACCTTTGGCCAAGCCCTAGTCTTCACAAATTCTCAGCACAGCACCCAGATGGCATCAGGAACTGGCAGCTCCAGTGTTGTAAACTCTTATTCTCCTCAAAGTCTGGTAAAATTATCTTAGCTTTCTAAATATTGTTCATGAGTAAATATTTAGGTTAAACAGGTTAAACAACTTCTCTAGTACTGGTCATTTCATGAGATGTTTCAGTATTTGTAAAATTCAGGTTGCAAATGTTGGAGGAATGGAATTAAGAATTCTGATCCTTCCATTCACACAATACAAAAAAAAGATTACTTTTTTCCTGGTTTTGCTAAGTAGTTGCTTCTCTGTTTACATGAAGTACTGGTATTAATTTTTGAGTAGAGCGTGGATGTGTTTACTGTGTGCTGATTTAGGATGAAATAATTTGTTTATAGTGAATAGTTCTATGCCAGAAAACTATGATGTGTTATTTACAAGCACATATCTGACTGCTTTTTGTGGAAACCTGCCTATTTCTGAGTCAATTGTGAGGGCTTGAAATTGGGCATTTGTATTTATTCTCTGAAAATCAGTTCAGCTATTAGTAAATATGTGCTATTTTAAGATGCATGGATTCAAGTAAATCAGTATTCTTGCAATCACAGTGGTGGAAGTTGTATCATTGATAACCAGAGAGGATCTGGCCATATGCTACAACTGCTGAATTTTTTAGTGGTTATCTGTTAGTAATCTAGGGCTGAAGAGGTTTTATTTGCTGCCAAATAGCAGCTGTAAGCATTGACCCTATGGTTATGTTCAAATTATTTATTAAATACTTCACTCCTTCCCCTCTTCTTTTTTGTCTTCTGGTAGTCTGCAGTTCTTTGTTCTGGCTTCGGAGAACTCGGATCCTCTAAATTGGCAAACTCTACTGGATCCCAAATCTTGGACCAGTTGAAATCTCCAGGACTGGGTCAGTTTACCTCTCAACAACATAACAGTAGCTCTACCACCACTACCACAACTACCATATCATCCTGGGATCTAAAACCGCCCATTACTCAGTCCTCAGTCCTTAGTCAGTTTGGTAAGTGCTTTGACCTAGCTTTCTCTCTCTATTAGCCCATAAGATTTCTTAATGCCAGTGACAGTTTAAAATATCCTTAATGAAAGACTTTTTCTAAAAAATGTAATCCTGGTAACACAACTGATTACAACGTTGTAAAAAGTACTCTTACTGGCTGGTAATGACATTATGAGCATACCACAAACTAAGTTTTGATAGGCTTAAGCCTATGCATAAAAGTCATTGCATCCTTAGAAGTTGTTGAGCCGTCATGCAATGACATCTTTGATTTAATGTGCTTGAATATTTAAGTGGAACTTTGATGTGACTTTGTTGCTCAACAAATCCTGGAAAATACTTATTTTCACTGTGCCTTCTGTCTGAGTATAGGGTTGTACCATATTTTGTCTTCTTTTTTTCCCAAAAAAATTTTCCTCTTCTAACTGTTTACATGAATTTTGAATGAGTACTATACAATTTCTTCATAATGTGCATCATACCTCAGTGGTCTTTCCCTAGTGAGCTGAGAATGATGCAGGTTACCTATTTTGTCTATTCATAATCGTATGGATTTTTCATTTAATTGGGTAAAATTACTAGAAAAAGTGAAAATGACGCAAACTTTTTTTTGCAGTTAATTTCCTAGCAGTATTCTCATTGTGAAGTGATAGCTCTTGTAACTATCTCATGTATGTGTATATGTTTCCAGATAGATAAGCAACCAGTTTAGTAGCAGTTATAATCTTTAACGTGCAGCAATTGTGAAAAAAATGTTTACGTACATTTCAAGTTGCTTTCTATTGCACTTTACCAACTGAATAAAAAACCTTTACATTGCAAATGCTGTGGATCTCTTACGGTTGTTCACCAGTGCTCTGAGCCACTGCATGGCTTTCAGTGTCTGAAAAATATGAAAGGGGAAGACTTGGGGAAAAAACTGTCAGTGTCCAGCATCTCTTGACTTTCAGCCAGATTGAGATGGTAGATGACTTCCTATTTGTGTTGAAAATCTTCTCCTTTGTAGGGGCAGAAAATCCTAACTCATAATACCTCTAAATTGCAACTCCAGACCCCTTGGTAGTAATCATATTTTATTGGCACAGTTCATTGCAGTGAAACTTGCAGTGTTTGATTAAAGTAATCTGTAACAGTTTTTGAGAAATAATGTTTGATAATATTAGGTGACTGTATAGATAGGTTTGTTTTCATATGTTTGAAGAAAGCTAAATAACGTTTGCCCACAGCTGTCTAGTTAAGGCCAACACTTGATACTCTCTGCTTTATTATTGCAATGGTAGTGTTCAATGTCAAACTCGGTGTGATATCTGAAAGAGACTTGCACATGCTATAAAATCATAGCTGTCGAGTTAAGTCACCCAGATTCTTTTCATAAAGAGAAGAAGTGTGAAGAGTAGAGGTTAATGCTTTAATTTTGATATTTCTTTTCCCTAACTCGGACCAGACTTTAAATCCCAGCCTGAACCATCCCCAGTTCTGAGCCAGCTGACCCAGCGACAGCAGCAACAAGCTCAGGCAGTTCCTGTTCCTCCCCCTGGGCTGGAGTCCTTCTCCTCCCAGGTAAAACTCCGAGAGCCCTCGCCAGTAGACACCTCTACAGCTGTCAGCAAAATGTTACAGCTCCCTGCTATATCTGTGGATAACCAGGCAGTAACTGCCCATCAAACCCAACAGAAACAGATAAAACCACCAAAACGGAGGATAACTCCAGCATCCAAGGTGGGTAGTTGAGTGGTGGCTTGTCCTTAGTAAACATAGAAACATAAAAAAGCTTGTATCAGAAATAGTGTGGCCAGCAGGACTCGGGAAGCAGTCATCCCCCTGTACTCGGCGCTGGTGAGGACGCACCTCAAATACCGTGTCCAGTTTTGGGCCCCTCACTCCAAGAAACATTGAGGTGCTGCAGTGTGGCCAGGGAAGGGCAATGAAGCCGCTGAAGGCTCTGGAGAGCAAGTCTTATGAGGAGCGGCTCAGGGAACTGGGATTGTTTCGTCTGGAGAAGACGAGGCCGAGCGGAGACCATAAGGTCGCTCTCCACAACCACCTGAACGGAGGTTGTAGCCAGGTGGCTGTTGGTCTCTTCTCCCAAGGAGGTAGTGCTAGGATGAGAGGAAATGGCTTCAAGCTGTGTCAGGGGAGGTTTAGATTGGATATTACAAAAAATTTCTTCATGGAAAGGGTTGTCAAGCACTTAAAGGTCTTTTTGCATCTAAATGGTTCTATGACTCTATTCTATATATAAGTTGTGAGGGAGAAGGAGAGCAAAGACCATGGTCTATTTCTTGTTTATAGAGAAGGAAATTCTAAGCTGGATAGTTTTTAGGTCCAAAACACAGTGATGATGTCTTTTCCAAGCACGTATCTGATTGCTCTGTGTGGAAAATGACTGTTGCTGAGTGATTTTGAATTGATTTAGTAGCCACAAGATGAATGTTGGCTGAAGGGGGATGGACACAGATGACACTTTGATATTGTAGAATAGTATGGCTTTCTCTTTCAGCTCCAGATCAGGGCACAGAATGAATTCATTTCAGTTTACAAGAATGTAGTTAATTTATGTGATGTAAACTGGGGGGTTGTTGCAGATCTAGTAAGCAGTAAAGGCTGAGGCAGTAACTGAAGAAGCCTGTAGTTAAGGGTGGAGAGGGTGTCAGTTACTCGTATCTTTAATACAGATAGTGCATGCAAAGGAATTACAGCTTTTTTTTTCCTCCTTTAAGATTCCTGCCTCTGCAGTGGAGATGCCTGGATCAGCGGATGTGACAGGGTTAAATGTTCAGTTTGGAGCTCTGGAGTTTGGATCAGAGCCTGCACTCCCAGAGTTTGGATCAACTTCAGGCAGTGAGAATACCAGCCAGGCGACCAACAATAGCTTGTACTCAAAATCTGTAAAGTACGTGTGAGTTCCCCTTGTGCATTCTTACATGTCTTCTTTAGGGGGTCAAGTTTGTGCCAAAAACATCAAGGCACAGTTACCATGTAATGGGAGGGGGAAATAATGGTAACTTGTAAGGCTGTGTTTTCTGTGGATGGCATCTGAAAGGAGAGATTTCTTTTCTAATGACAATCAAAATCTCCCTGGATGGGTCGATGAGAAGCTGGAGATGACATGAATGTAAATAACCTTATAATAAGCTACCCTTTATAGAATTGCTTTCTCATGTTTAATTGTCCTGATTTTCAAATTTGTTTGAGGGTTTGTTCCTCACAACCTGAATTTTTCTGCTTTCGATCGAGGAGACATGACCCTTGTATCATACATGTGTGTTAGTAGATTGGCACCAGATTACAGATCTGATGCTCCTATGGGATGAGAAAAGAAGCCAGGCTTTCAGTATGCAGAAGCTCTTACTGAAATGCCAAAATAGCCGATGGTAAATGCTAATGTACCAGTAACCCATTTTTTTCTTCGTTATTCATTCAAAAATTGGCTTCAGTAAAAAGCTTCCTGAAGTTAATTCAGAAATACTAGTAAAAATGAACTTTCTCATTCATTTCTATGATTTAAGCTCTTTGGAAAGTAAAATACTCCTGCATATTTTAAAGTATTTTTTCCTCTTTGCATAGTTCATTTGGTTAGACTGCTACTGTAATGCTAGAATTCTATTGTAAAAAGAGGCTGGGTGTTTCTCATCTTATACGAGACTTTCTAGGTCTAGTTGTTTAAAAAAAGAGAAATTATGATAATTAATTTATCCTTTGAGAAGGTGGAAATAACATGACTGAAAAGTGCTTGTTTTGGTTGGGCTGGTAGGAGAGAAGGTGAATGGTGCTTAGTGCAGCTGATGGTTTTGAAGCAGTGATTACTGGGGACCAAAGCAAATTCCCCCCCCCCCCCCCATTATTAGATTTCCTAGTAGAAATAATGTAGGTTTGACTGCATGTTTAAGGTAGTTGTAGATAACTGTATAGGAGCTGATATTTTCATGAAGGTGTTTGAGATGTCTTTTACCAACATGATAAAAAATTTTTACTTTTTCCAGCGATCCTTTGAATACCTCTTTGCCAATATCCAATACAGTACAGGAGTCCACCTACACAACTTCTGCCATCACCTCTTCCAGTCTGACCTGCTCATCCCAGAGCACTAGCCCAGTAACAACAACTTCCTCCTATGACCAGACTTCTGTGCATAGTAGGATAGCGTACCAAAGCTCCATGGCTCCATCTGAACCTCCAGTTGCAGTTACGGTGAGTAAATTTCAGAAATAAGACCTTGAAAAAAGTGAAACATTCTTACCCGTGTTAGACTTGTATTACCCTCCTGTGTTAATACTTTTAACCAACCAAGTGGTGTTTTTGATTCCCAAGCCCACCCGGTTATTTGTTTTTGCTTTTCCTGTTGTGTAGCCACTTTTGGCCATACTGTATTTGGGATATAAAAGCCTCTGATTTTATGGGTTTTGACATCTTAAATTGCTGTTTGACCTTTTTTCTTAGTGACACTTAAACGTTCTACTTGAGTGTCCTTCCCTGAAGCTTAGCTTTTAAAACAGGAACTATCTCTGTGTGTAAATGTTAGTCATGGTATTTTGCCATAACTTCACTTTTTTTATCCAAAGGAGTATTATTTATTAGATTTATATGTCACCTAGCAAATGGATTCCAAACTGTTTGTGCCCCCTCCAGCGTTACACTCTTGTTGGGTGGATTTGAACACCAGTGGGAATTAGTTTCATGTTTTATTTTAAAAAGCATAGGTCTAATCTAGGACAGAGAGGATCTCTCTTGGGAGATTCAAAAACACCTACTCTCTTTGTATATGGAATGTAGGTTTGTTTTAAGAGAACTTAATTTATTAAATGTTTAAGGAACTTGTGAGAGTTTGTAAGTGTATTTACTTCTGGCCTTTGTTACGCAATGGCTCAGTCACACTTGTCTTCTGCACTAGCTCGTATGTACTGGTGAGGATCAAGCATAGACTATCCACTTCTGTACTCCAGCGTTATCCAAAAAACAACTGGTCCTTCTCAAGTCTTATCTTTCAATGGAAAAAAATTGGCGTCCTTGTGTAACTTGGATAGTTAAAATTGTGAGTTGCATTAGATCAAAAGCACAACCATTTCCTATATGTTAATGCAATTCTTTCTTTAATATTGATGTGAACCTGAAGTTTGTGTTATATACAGTACATGGGAAGGTCTCCGGCTGATGGGTGTAGTATGGGCAGTGTATGGGATTTCGTATGTTCAGGACACCTTGCACCTGAGACAATTATTATGTGGTTTTGTTACAGGCAGTAAAAAGTTAATTTTCTGCCTTTTTTGTCTTTCAATTTAGAATGAGTATAGAATTTTGCATGAAGCATGTTCCATGTCTGATTCAATCTGAAAATGTAATATACCTCTAAGATGATTTATTCATTCATTTCTCCTTTGTTTACAGAACGGGCACAGCGGTGTTAGAACACAGGCAACTCTTGACAGTAAGTTTACAAAGCTTGGTTGAGCACAGGACTTTCTGATCTTTCCTTACTACTTGCTGTGTGCACAATTGTAGCAGTGACACCTGGTTTAAGGTTTTATATTGTTCTCCCTGACTAATTTTTGGCTGACCCATTTCAGTTTATTTTGTACTTGCATAGGATACACTGCTTGCTTCTTGACTAGAACTGGCGTATGAAAGCAGCCCTATTAAATCCACAAACCTAAGCAGTCTTAGAATTAGAGAAGCTGCTTTGCTGCTGCTTTTCTTTTTCTTTCTGCAAAAACTTACTTAATATGAAATTAAAATAAAATATAAAATTAAAAATGAATATAAAATTTCGTAGCAATTCTTCCAGTTCTCAGTTGGGCAGCTGTGAATAGCATTTAGCTGTAATGAAACAGTCACATTCTTTGAATGCACCTCTCACTGGGTTTAGTGCTACTTCTGCCCTGTTAGAAGCCCGGTGGGAATAAGGGTGACTAACATGCTCCCTCTGCCGGGTAGCTTGCTGCCTTGCAGTGGGGTAGCAATAACACAGTACTGGCTCTGATACAGGCATTACTGTTAACTTCATCTTGTCCTGTTTCTAACGTGGTATTTCACTTGTAGCACCCCTACAGCTTTCTTCCTGGACTTAAAATAATTAAAGTATAGTATTCGCTCTTCTGACCTTTATGTGCTGCTCAGTGGAACTTTTCAAGAGCAGCAATGTGAATTAACACCTTTTGGAATTCCAGCACTTCAATTTTAGGTCTGTCTTCCTCTTAAACATCTCTTCAGGTAGGTCATTAGTGGGGCAGGCTTTTGTTTTTTTATACTTCCGAGCAGAAAGAAGTTGAGAATTCAGACCTGTAAACAGTGTTTCATTAGTGCCAAGTTCAATTTAAATGAGCAGGAGGAGTGTATATGCCCAAAGAGTTACCACTTAAAAGGTTGTTATATATAAAGACAACTTTTCAAGTGGAAAACTTTCTTACTGTCATGTACAGAATTAATAAACAGTTTATGAAATTCGCTACAGGACTTGTCTTTTTGCTATGGACAACAAAGATCTGAGAATTCTTAGTATTTTTCTAATTATTCTCTAACGGCTTTATTAGTCCCTTTTTCTATGCCAATTTTCTTTTGAGAATGCTTTTGGTTTTTGCTGTATCTCAAGCACATAAACTGGAATCAGTCTTCTTCCATGTATGTATTTCATGCATCCAAACAATTTTGAAATTCTGTCTTAACTTTTGAAAGTACTGACCTTTTTCCATCTGTGTGTGCTGATAATATTCTTAGTTATTCATCTCTCATCTTTGCTGTTGTTGTCCTTTAATATCCAGATCTCATGCTTCCTCAACCCTTAGTGCAAAGTGTGACTGATATGTTATAATTCTGACCATCCTACTTGTCTCCTGGTTTTCTTTGTATTGCACATTGTGTTCAGGCATCTTGTAAGGGGTCTTAATGAAGATGGTGATTCTCTCCCTTGTATTGAGGAAGTCTACTTCAAGAAGGGAATCCTGCTCTAAATGGATTGAGAGTTGTAAATGTTATTTACTTATTTTTATATGAATCTTGCCAGGAGGTACTGGGTGATGCAGTTGCTGCCTTCATAACAGTGTTTCTGTTTGTCACTTGAATTTCCTGGTCTGTTGTCAGTTACCGTCATACTTATCGCCAAGGCAAGACCTCTTGATTTCTGTTTGCATAGCACTCAATCCAGCAACCTGACTTTGGTCATTTAGTGAGGAAACCAAACCAATAACATGAACAAACTGTGATGTGTAACTTCCAAGTGTGTGTCTGACTTTTGTTTGGTGGCTATTCTAAAACTGTCTTCACATGCATTGCAAGTTAGTGATGATCCACTGGGTAGTGGTCTCTGGTGTGGTATGGAAGCATGGCCCACCCGAAGGCAGGGCTCAACTCTCTGAGTTTTATTGGTGGGTGATTGCCTCTAATTCTTTATATTATCTTTGCAGGACAAGAAATAAGTGTAGAAATAGCTGGGAATTATGTTGGGCAGTAGCGTTGTTCAGTGCCTTATTATAGTATAGTGATCCTTTGGAAAGGCACATCTGTGGTAAACAAGTTTTACTCTGTGTAACTAAAAAGTAATATTAAAACTAAATTTTTTTTGTTATCTAGGTCAAATAAAGCAAGACAATATTTGACAACTCTTTAGCCATTAAAAATGCTTAGTGCTGTGCTCAATTGTGGCCTTTTATTGTAGCTTCTTTTATTCTACTGCATTACACATTTGAGTACTCCAAACTGATAAGTTACATATGCCCTTGTACTCTGGCGATCTCAGTCTCAATCATCAAAGATGCCGTGTAAGTTGGAATGAAGAAGCAGAGCTGTAGGTAAAAGTAGATTTGTACGGTGCCTTGAAAAGCACAAATTACTTTTGTTTGCGGAACCAAATGCAAGGAATTTTAAAATGAGGATTGACTTGTGAGCAAAAGCTAGTAATCCAGATAGCAGGAGGTGAAGTGCAGAAGGCTGTAGTTTACTACACATGTAGCAGTGAAAATTATAAATCTGTTGTAGGTGAAGAGCTTAAAGGGAAAAAATGATAGTTCTGTTGCTGTTTGAATTTTCCTTAATAGCCAGATTGCTTGATACTGTTACTGGTCTTAATGGTCAGGTTTTTGTAAACCAAGGGGAGAATACTACTCTGTTCCTGAATCCAAGCTGGGATATCAGGTATGCTGGAATTTGTCTTTGAATGCCTCTTTTTAACTTGTTGCAGCTACTTCATCACTTCCAGCGCCTAAGACAGAGCCTTCTCCCTCACTACCTTCTGCTGGTTCTCTGCCTAGCGTGGTATCCACCACTGCTTCGCTTCTTTCTTCAGCATCGCAGCACGTGGCAGCGTTGCCCAGCTTGCCTCAGCCCAGTGATTTGGCCAGCAGCTCACTTTCCCAGTTAAGCAGGTACAGTAGGAGTTGTGATAAACTGAAAGGGGTTCACTTTTGGGGAAAGGGCAAATGTAAGGGTGATTGCATATGGGGGCTGTCAGATGCTAGGGTCCCCTTTTCTCACATTAACTAGAATTAGGAGAGACATTCAGAAGAGAACAGGGTGTTTCTGGTTGCAGAGTATGAGCTCTGGGCTGCCGCTTAGTGACAGAGCAGCTGCTGCCCTCAAGTTTTCATGGTACATAAACAACTTTGTGTTTCAAGGGGCTCTTGCTTCAATCATGCCAGCTAAATTAGCTAAATTGATTCCCCCAGTTTGTTTTTCCTACTTTGTCCACAATGCCTGCTGTTTGTTTAGTGTTGTATGTTTGAAATTATTCCTCGACAGTTTAATTCCTGGATAATTTTGAAATATTGTAGTTTCATTTATATTTGTATTTCTTAAAATTAAAACCTAGAAATAATTCCACGGGGAAAGTGTGTGTTTTTTCTTTCTAAGACATTTCCTTAAGACACTTTGAAATATCAGATTGGTGTCCTGGAAGTGCATTCAGGACAGCTTAGCTCATTTGCACTGTGTCTGATTTTTCTTGGTGTCTGTTACTTGAGCTTCATCCTGAGGCTATACTGGTTGAGTTATATTTTTAATACTCACTTTTGTATTGTATTTTTTTAATGTAAGAAACTAATTTGATGGGATATCGGGGTTTTTTTCCCATTTCACAGTTAAGACATGGTTGATTCTCTTTTAATACAGTAGTGTTTTCTGTTGAATAAAATGGTAAATATGTCAAATAATAAGCATTATTCTATTCACATTAGAAACATTATCTCCCCACATTTGTTTGTTGAAAAGCTGTGTACGCTGGTAGAAATTTTAGTTGGAGGGTTGATGGTGTTGGGCAGGCACCAAGTGCTCTGAAAAGATGATGCCTGAATTCCAAGTGTGTCTGACACCGTTGTGCTGGTGGCTCATCTGGGTCTCTGCCATAGGTCAGGTGGCAAATTAAGGCTTATTAGAAGAGTGGGCGAGGGAGTGGTTTAAAACTGTATATTGGACTGAACTATTTCTTTCCTTGCTGCCTGAAGTAGTGTTATTGTAATTCATGCAGATGGGGAACAGTTTTAAAGAATCAAAGTAAAATTCATCTGTGAAACTGCCCAGATATATTCTGGTCCCACACCTCAGAGAGCTTCCAGAATTGTTTGCCCTTAAATTAGGGTGTATAATTTAGCCTGCAGCTTTGTTATGAAAGCTGGTGTATTTTCTTGTGGCTATTTCCGTAGAGAATGCTAAAATATTTGCTATGGTTAGGATCTCTCTTGCTTCTGATTTCACACGAGGAGGGGCTTTTTGAGCACCAAACCATACATATTTGTTATGGCTTTGTTGTTTTGCCTTTGTTCAGTGTTCATTCTGTTTATTCCATACTGTACTGTAAGTTATGTTCTTGACCTCAAATGTAAGATATAATTTTTGTTAGTGTAAATGTTTAAGAGCCAGTTTCAGTCACCTTTCAGGGAGACATTTAAAGATCTTTGGATTACAGATGAATGTCGGTACTACTGTTAGTGCGAAAAGTTCACAGGCCTGGTCAGCTAGGGAAAAAAGGTGGTGCTAAAGCAGAGTTACTTCCTAAAACGAAGTTATCCGCAGATGTTTTCCAGCAGGGGATTCTTTATTTTCATATTTTACAGTGTATATGTAAAACTGAACTGATAGTTCAGATTAATCTTTTCAAAGAGGACATGGCTTTTGGTGGGGTGTAATGGTATGAACTGGCCTTCATTAAATTGCCAGATTCCGTAGTAGTATGGCTAATTTTGGGCTTTCACAGATGCTCTTAATTGCTGGGTTTTTTGAGCCCTGTCTTTTGAGAGTGTGTGGGGCTTTTGGCAGCATTATGGGGCAAATATCCTGCAGCTCTCATTGGTTGCAGTAATGTTATGCAGGTTAAAATGTAAGAAATACCATAGTGAGTCAAACTGAAGCACTGCCTCACCTAATTAATACCTGTGCCCCGTGGCAGGCAGCAGCAGTTGCTCAGGGAAAGAATGAGAAACATGTGTTGTGTGAACCTTCTTCTGGTTTTGGACTTTGTGTCTTGGAGTCATTGCTACATAACTCCTGAAGCAACTATTGCTTTTCTAAAAATACAGTACTTGATAAATAAAAATGAATGCTGTTTTAGATGTTTCTTGTTAATAATAGTTGTCTCTGTACTTCAATTTTTTCATTAAAAGGTAGTAGGATATTAGTTAAAGGAAAAATTGTCTGTAGGGGTGTGTGTATACATGAGTATATGCACGTGTGTATGTGTGTATATATATATATACACAACCCTACAGACAGTTTTTTCTTTAATATCCTACTGTGTGTGTATGTGTATACATGCACAATTTTTATTCTTTAACTAATATCCTACTACCTACTCTGTTTTTGTATATATATGTGTGCATATATACATACATATATATTAAAAATAGTTCTAGGAAAAATTAATGTTATTAATTCTGTGCAATTTCTTTCTAGTTCCCTTTCCAATCATCAGAGCAGCCTTTCCCCTGCCTCAGTGTTGTCTTCAAGCACATCACATGCAGTAAGTCCTATCTGCATTTCAACAGATGTTTTGATATATAGTCAGTTTATCTGATGATTAAGACCCTCTCTTAAAGTTCCTTGTGTCCCAGTACACTAAGAACCAAAACAAGAGCCTCATCTCATGGAGGAAGGACTGCTATTCCCTCTAGTGGTAAAAGAAGTCTTTATACTTGTACTAGATCAGGAATAGCTGTTACAGAGACTTGCCAGTCACACAACTGTAAAGGAAATTTTTGTGCCAGCAAGGGGGGATGGAATAAAGAAAGAATTAATGTAACAAATGGATTTCTAAAAAAATAAAAAAATCTTTAGAAGTGGCTGTCTGAAACTGCTTCAAAATGTGGACTGTTAGTGGTCTCCACTGGAGGGGTTAGCTGGCAAAATGCAGGTGATGGAATGATACATGTCATGACAAATGCCTCATGACAGATGATTTTAGAGTTTACCATGTGGCATTGTTGTCACCTGTATATTTAATGCATTTGAGGTAACAAGGCAAATGGTATTGAACACAGCGCTCTAGATGAGATGAGCCAGATGCTGCCTTGTTCTGTGATGGGGTACTTCTTTACAATCCCAGTTGGGGTGTGCAGATAGGTTACTGCTTTTCTTTATGCCTGTATTTTGGTTTGTAATGCTCCATCCCTACTGAATATGTAACTTAAAAATTCACAGTTATCCAAATGTCCTTCTTTTTTGTTGTCAGAGTAGTTTTGGCTTCTGTGTGTTGATGACACTGTTTTGCATGTGTGATCAGCTTACAGCTAAGGCACTGTATTGTGCTGGATTCAAACCAGGAACTCCTTTATCCTCACGTGTTCCTGTAATACATCTGGTCTGGGTTTGAGTTTACCACACTGACTCTGTTGTGGGGCAGTATAGTTTTAATCTTTTAAATTGCACAAGTGAATTGAGGAAATCATGTTAGCATTGTCCTCTATTCTGAAAACAAATACTGCCCTTTGGAAGAATATAGGAGTTTATTTAACATAAAAATTACTAGCTTAGAGGAATATAAAAGCAAAAGTGAGAAATGATGCAGTGGAGTGACATTTGAGTTACTGTGGTATCATTTTGTGATGATATAGCAGTTTGAATTTAACTCTCATCTAACAATTTTCTTTGAATACTTAAAAATCACAAGCATGCAACTTAGTTGCTTGCTTGGTGTACAGATAATGCATATCTTTTGAATGTGCTGCTGTTACTTAAAAGATTATTGGGGTTTTTTGATTCTTTTTTTTTCCCCCCCAGCGTCTTCCACTGTGGTTTATTTGCTCTGTGATCCTCGTTCTTTTTGTCTCCTTTCTAGCACACTAGTGTTGAGAACACAACTTCGCTCCAGCCCTCAACAACCTTTTCAACTGCTTCAACCTCAGCTACTAGCACCACCTCTTCAGTTGTCAGCATGGCAAGCAGTATGAACACTACAAACAGCCTTGGCCTCAGCGTTACCAGTGTGTCTATACCAGCTGCTACCACACGGGCAGCTCCCTTAGTGTCTTCAGGTTCGCAATATTAACAGGTCACGTGGATAGACAGAGGACTTCAGTCAGCAGGGCTGTCGGTTGAGCATCTCACCAGCCATAACTATGCTAAGAAATCCACACTCTTGACTAGCATTTTCAGCATGCTTTATTTGCTGGCTTATAAAATAAAGTTGCCTGGTTTTGTTTACTTGAAATATTTGTTAGGGTGTTATGTGGCATTTATATAGCACATTCCATCCCCAAAGAGCTTTATAAATAGGCACCAGAGCAGTTCTGACTTGGGAAGTTTTGGGCTAGGAGATTTGCCCAGTTTGTATTCCAGATTGTGATCAGCTCTTGGCTGTGAATTTCACATTAGCTTTAATTTCAGTCTTCTCTGTGACTTGAATTCACTTGGCAGTATCAAAATATACTGCAGTGTCCTCATTATCATATGCAGCATCCCTACTGCCACATCTACAGAAAGGAAAAAAGTGTCTGATGTCTGGGTCATTCCACAGCAAATAGCACTTCAGAAAAGGTGTCCACAGAGAGAGAAGGTGGAGAGGCTTCTTGCACTGAAGTGGAAGCAATGCTAAATTCTCTCTTGCTTCTCTAATCAACCTGAACTGCTAAAAGGAAGTCCTGTGGAGGGGAGTGAATCATTTAAATATTAAGATCAAACTTACTTACAGAAGAATTTCTCATTTCTCATTCCCACACCTTGTACATGAAGTGTCTGATGACTGGCCAAAGTGCGCTCTTTTTTTTTTTTTACTCTTCTGCTTCCTAGCACTGCTTCATGGAGGCAACTGAAACTGTTTTAATCTTCTTCTCTTTGCTATTCTCAGCTGCAATAAGTCACCCACAAAAAGTATGCTGACAACATTTAGTGCTTTCCAGTCTATTGCTGGCGATAAGGGAGAATATGTTGACAGAGCAGAGAATTAAAGGAGAGAATTTGCTCTCTTAGATTGAGAACAATGCCTAAATTTTGCTTTCAGGAGAGGACTGAGGAAAGGAGAAGTTTCCATAATTCTTGTAATCCTCTTGGACAAAGTAAATGACAAAATCAGACTGTTCTCTGATGGGACTGTTTTCAGTCTTAAGTAGCCTGTGCTTTCCCTTCCTTGAGGCATGGTGAAACTCTTCAGGTGTTTTCATCAACCAGCACAAAATTCTTCTGCGTAGTTCTGTTCTTTACAAGCTATGACACTGCAGCTGCCAGGGCTTGTGAGCTATCTTGTCTCAATGCTGAAGCCTTTTCTTTTCTAAAGGCTTGTTAAAGTGTCTGTATTTTGATTCTACAGGCAAAGCTCCCCCAAACCTGCCCCAAGGTGTACCACCCTTATTGCATAACCAGTATATTGTGGGACCTGGAGGACTTCTGCCTGCCTACCCAGTAAGCAATTTAATTGTTCCTGCCCTTGATTGCTTAACCCTTGGTGCAGCTGGGCCCTCCAGACCTACTGCTGTCTATGCCAAGGCATTTCTGTTGGCACATGTTGCACCTGGAATTCTTGTTCCAAATGCTGAAGAATATGTGAAATGTATTCAGTGAGGGTTTGTTGTTGACAGTAAACTGCAGAACTGTTGGTAGAGACCTGATCTGGCTGCTGTTGAAGCTAAACATACATGTTGCTATGGTTTTCAGTGGGATCATATTTTGGGCCCTTCGAGTGACATTAGACTCATTCTGGTTTGTGCTACTGGAATAGCTTTACTGTTAGTAATGGCTGAAATGTACCATGTGTCCTGTCTGTCATGCTTTGAAAGATTACACGTAACTTTTTGATGTCTGACCAGGATCAACATATTTTTGGTTATCTGTTTTTTTGAATCAGAAACTTTATTCTAATTATCATTGTGACGGGATACAATAGGTTGCTTTGTGGTCTAGTCATCAAATCTTAAATCCTGCTATTCTAAGAAGTAGCGATTGCAGCAAAGAAGGCTGTTGCTCTTGCTCCCAAATCTGAATGCCCTATAGATTTTTCACAAGTTGATGAGTGATGCATCTGTGAAAACAGTATTGAAGATGGGACAGTCATACTCTCCTCAGAGGACTGCTGTCACCAAGAAACAACATCAGAGCGACAAGCCATTTTAAGCTTAGCTCTACTAGCCTTAAAATGCTACAGTGCGCCATGATGGCATAATGTGACATATAGCTGTACACCTTTAAAATAGATTGGGCCTGGGTCAAATCTGCTTAAAGCCCCAAATTGTTCAGTGTCAGACAAAAGTGTTATAATGATGTTCTATTTTTATCTGTCTTTAAGCAGATTTATGGTTATGATGATCTCCAGATGCTTCAATCCAGGCTGCCGATGGTAAGTAAATGGCTTGGTTTATTTAATTTTAAACAAGTTGTCTTCAGTGTTGATCATTTGTGCAACACAAATTAGTTAATTTAATGGTGATTAAGAGCTTATACTATGTTATATATTCTGTTTTTTTAAATATCCACAAACAGTTTCTCTAGATGGCGTAAAGTGATATAGCAACTGGTGCATCATCCATTCGTCCATCTGCAATTCTGTAAATAGAAGCAAGTGTGCTCTCTGCTTTTGAGTGGAGAAATTTTTAATTGTTGTAGCAACAGTATGACATCTTGTCAAGTCTAGTTGAAATCAGAGCATGAATGTTTTCTTTTACCAAGAGGTAAGGTGGAACAGCAAGTACACCAGTTGGTGACCAGTAGGTGCGTCTGTCAGGTTTTGGAGGTGCTCATAGGTGGAGATCTTTGCGTAAGCATCATGGCAACAAATGCAGGTGAGCTGCAGGAGGGAGAGCATATGAAGAGCATAGAAAAGCAAAAGCCCAGCAAGAAGTTAATCTAGCCAATG